GTGGGCTGCACTTTTGGACATGCTTGCCTAGGAAATGCTCCGTTCCCTGCAGGCAAGAGGCTCAGACTGTTTTGGGACCCTCACAAGTGCCTGGGCAACCTTGCCCTCCCTCCTGGGAACAATCTTGCAACCCATCAGTGCCCTTTCTCAGTGGCAGCCGTGCACGGCTGCCCAGGAGCTCACCAGTCTGCCTCATGGAGGCAGATCCCAGTGTATTTTCCCCTGACAGGATTCATTTGCAGGGAGGGCGGGAGGACATGGCCTTTAGCACTCAATTAGACTTCCTCATTTATCAGGAATTTGACCCCATCCCTCTCTCTCTCTCTCCCTCCCCGTAAGGTCCTGTCTCTGCACCCCACTCCTTCCCACTGATTATCAGGGTGTCTTCTGAAACCCATTTTCCTCTCAGCTGGATTAATCCTTTTTTTAAAGAAATAAGTGCTCTGGGTCACAAGCAGGCCACCTGTAAGCAGGTTCCCCCACCCTCCATTTTTATCACTGTGAAGGATTCCCTCAATTGCCCTGGTCAAAAATGAGGTGTGTGCTTTTTTTCCCGCTTTACGAAAGACGCACCTGCCAAAAATGTGGTTTGTATCTTAACACAGGCTTAACCCACCTGAAAAGCACACACACCCCGGGGAAGGTTGCCTCTGCCCACAGGTGGTGGGGCTCTTCCTGCTTTGCTATATTCCCATTTATTGTGTCCCCCCCCCCCCTAATTTAAGTGCATCTTACGGCTCTCGAAAGGTTGCCCATCACTACGTTTTAAGAGGTAAAAGGCTTCAAATGTGTGATTGTTCTCATTTTTAATGTATTGATCATGATTAAGTGGCCAGAATCTCAGAAAACATGGTGATCATTTCGAACACCTGTCGCTTTTCGAGGCGTTCTGGAACTGGTTTGAATGGGATCCCTCCAGGACGATCTTCTTTCCTCTGGCAAATTGCTCTCTCAGCTCTCGTACTTTATACTTTCACATTAGTTTTGCCTGGCCTTTCTAACTGAGGCTTGAGGAGGTTAAAATGTCCTTTTCCCCCCAGCCTCCTGAATTCACTTGTTTGTTTGCACTCGGCGGGTTTAGCGAGCACAAAAGGATCAACCAAGTCAGAAAGAATTAAATCCGCAATCTCCTTATTACCCAGCAGCAGGGAGCTTGGTGAAACTTGAAAAAAAGACAACCGAATTTCTTACTCGTCCGAATTTAAGAACAGGACTGGCTGTTTTGTTCGCTGCCTTTACCAAATATGTACATTCGCAAACATGAACACGTTGACTTGCAACGGGAAGAGGAGGAGGGTCACCCCACCTTCGTGCAGGGGTTTGTTAGGAGCCCCCCCACAAACTGGGTTGAAAGGAGGGGCTGATGGACTCCTCCCTTGCTGCAAATTCTTCCTTTGCAAACCTGCCAGAGTGCACCTGTCTTCTTGTCAGCAAATGCCCACTGGGTTTGCATGCCCCTGACCCCTGCAGCAAATGCAAACCAATTTTGTACAGAGGGAGACTTAAGCCTCCCAATACCGGTTTTTATTTTTCTATTGACATTTCTGATTCTAGCATTGGTATTTTAGCTAATAAAATCCCAGCTAAGTCTTGTGAACAAGGAGTGCTTTTGTATCTCATGATTTTGGGGCTGTGGGATTTGGGGTAGGGGTTGATTTGGAAGAGTGTTTGCTTTCCTGCTGGCTGGGGACTTCTGGGAGTTGAAATCTCCAAGTCTTAAAATTGGACACCCTCTGATTGACAGCGTTGGCCAGCACTTGTACCATCACAAATGCAATTTATTTCAAAAAGGGGAATTACAAAAGGATTAGAAGATTAAAAAGATAAATGTAGCACGAGTATCTAATGAGTGCTTGGGAAAAAAAATAAGTGCATGCTTTTTAAGCCAAGCTCACCTCGGATAACTCCGGTTTCCTTGGCAATATTTCCAAAATTGTCTGCTGCCTTTAGGGATTTATCTTTTTTTTAAACTTAACTTGGGAGTCCAGCCAAGATCAGAGGAGAGCTGCCAATGGTTTGATTAAAGTTCAGGATCCCCCCCCCCCCCCAAATACTCCATGGTGAACTCTTCACTTATGGCACTTGCCAGCTTATCCGAGGTGACACTGATTGGCCCTTTGGCGGTTGGGAAGGAGTTTTCTCCAAGAATAGATGGAATATTTGTTTTTGTCCTGCTCCGGATATCTAGCAGGGGTTACTTGCTCGGTGCTGGCCAATACAGCAATAGTAATATTTGCGGGGGGGGGGGGGGGGGGGGGGGGTTTAATTTTAAATAATTACTGTAGTGCCTGCTTTTTCCATTGTTGGGTTAATATATGCTTGGAGCTATTTATAAGTGTATTTATATGGTAAGGAGCTTCTGTGGTGCAGTGGTTAGAGTGCAGTTCTGCAAGCTACTTCTGCTGGAGCCTGCTGCCTACAATTTGGCAGTTCAAATCCCACCAGACTCCAGGTTGGCTCAGCCTTCCATCCTTCTGAGGAGGGTAAAATGAGGAGCCAGATTGTTGGGGGCAACAGGCTGACTCTGTAAACCGCTTAGAGAGGGCTATAAAAGCACTGTAAAGCAGTATAGAAGTCTAAATGCTATTGCTATTCCTTCCTTCCTTCCCTCCCTCCCTCCCTCCCTTTTCATTCCTTCTTTCCTCCCTCTCTCCTTTCCTCCCTCCCTTTTCTTTCCTCCCTCTCTCCTTCCCTCCATTCCTTCTTTCCTCCCTCCCTCTTCCTTCCATCTTATTGAGGTGGGTAAAATGAGGACCCAGATTGTTGGGGGCCAGAGGCTGACTCTGTAAACTGCCTAGGCTGTAAAGCACTATAAAGCAGTGTATAAGTCTTATTGCTATTGCTATACTGTAAATGTAAAGCAGATTACAGGTAGTCCTTGACTTACCACAATTGAGCCCAACATTTCTGTTCTGAAGGGAGACATTTGTGAAGTGAGTTTTGACCCATTTTACGACCTTTTTTGACAGTTAAGTGAATCACTGCAGGGGTTAAATTGGTCACATGTGTTAAGTGAATCTGGCTTCCACCCTTGAATTTGTCAGAAGGTCGCAAAAGGTGATCATGTGACTCCAGGACACTGCAACCGTCATAAATATGAGCCTGTTGCCAAGCGTCTGCATTCTGATCATATAACCATGGGGATGCTGAAATGCTTGTGACAAGTGGTTGTAAGTCTGATTCCAAAGGGAAGTGCAAATATTGCATCTCTTTGCTGCTCTGAAATGATCTAGTTTTTCCCCAGGCAGGCATATAAAGAAAAAACAACAACCAAGGATTCTGACACTTTGATTTTTCTTATACACTTGTTAACCATGTTGCAATTAAGGCTACATTAAAGATTTAACTTCAGAGATACTTAGAAGTATAGAAACAAAAATATGTCAAGAAGGAAATTACGAGGAAAAAAGAAGCGGAAGTGACAAGTCAATAATTCATGGTTAGAGACTGGAGCCTGCATTATTTAATCTGCTAATTGGTTGCTGTTTAGATTTGCTCTTTGTAACCATGTGTTAACATGCTGCTTATTAATAATGCATTTTATGCAGCTGGGAGACTTATGATATATACATACAAAGGGAGCTTTTTGAGGAACATTAAAGAATCATTTCAAGAGATCAACTTGCACTGCAATGGGAGAAGTTTACTTTAAAAAAGCACCACCAAAGATCAGGTTTCTCTTGACATCACTGGATGGAAATCTCTTCACTCTTACTAGTCTGGTGGCCAGTATAAAACTTATTGTTGGAATAAAATAAAAAGGGCGCTGAAACAGTAAGCAAAATTCCAAAGTCCTCAATTTTATGGCTGAGTCTACACTTTTGGTTGTGTGACAGTCATAAAGGGGGTCAAACACATGAGTGTACCCAATTTTATGACTTTTTTGTGGTTAAAAAAAGGGGTTATGGGGTGGATTTTATTTTATTTTTGGAAAACCAGATGTAAACACATCAAAAATTGCACTCACACAGCAGTCAGATGCTACAAATGGCCAAGATGCAGTTATGGGGGAACGCCACAGGTAGACACTAGGACTTCAAATCTGGGTCATAAAGTCCCTTTTTCGGGATTCCCCGTAACTTTAAAAGGTTCCTAAGCAACTGGTTTTAAATTAAGGACTCTGTATACCTAAAGTCACAGCAGTGGGCCTCCAAGCTTGCAGCCCGTCTTTTGGAGTCCAAAATAATTTTCGCCCCCTTATAATTTATTAGACAGTTCAAATTATTGCAGAACGCCCTTCATTCCCATTGCTAGCAAAATCATGCTTAGACTTGAGCCTCACATGGGAGGGAAGGCAGATATTCAAGTTGGCTTTAGAAAAGGCCAGGAAACACATTTTTTTTTTTTTTTGGATGCACACCGAATCATTCTTAGGGTCTAAGGACCCTAAGCAAGATAGACAAGAACTGGTTGAATTAGTGAAATTCTGTTGACTTCACCTTGGAAGATGGGAATGTATGGACCTGTGGCGACCGATGTTGGCAACGACCTGGCCTCACTCTTTGGAAGCCTTGTCCACCTTCTTTCATCTGGAATGTGATTTCCTGACCTATATATGGGTTTCATGCGAGGACAACGAAATGTGGGGTTCTCCGTTTTCTTAACTCTTCCACACTTGTGATGGCCAACACACTGGAAGGCCTTTCTATATTCAAAGATAGTGGGGTTTTTTTTGGTATTTGTTGGCTTTTTCAATTATTTAGTGACTATCAGAAATAATGTTTTTGTTTCCTGGCCTTTTCAACCTGAATATCTGCCCCTGCCCTCCTCCCATGTGGGGCTCTAAGCTGAGCATTATTTTGCTAGCAATGGAAATGAAGGACGTTCTGCAATCATTTGAACCCTCTAATAAATTAACCTCCTTTGGTATGTAGACTGATCCCTTACAATCTGCCATAATCAATCAGCCAGCCAGCCAGCCAACTTGCTGCTCTAATGCTGTATAATCCCCGGTCAATAGGCGTCAAGCTCCAGATTGTATAAGAGCCATGAAACAGTTTCAGATCAAACTTTTTATTACACTCACTTCTGAGACAGTATTTCCAGCAATCTGGACTCTCAAACTTTCTTTAAAAAAACAACAACCAGCTGGAATAGTGACATCTGCGTAAAACTCCTCAGGAAAATAATGGTCGAGACCTTTGTGCGCCAAAGTAAAACAAAAGTAAGGTCGAGAGTTTCACAGGTTTAATTTTGAATCCTCCCCTTGGCATAACACTGGGGATGGAGACGTACGATGCACTTTTGAGTACAAGCCAACGCCACCCGCCCCTGTTGGGGTTTGGCAGAGCCACATTCTGCAGGCAAAGTAAATGGAAAGATGACTAGCGAGATCTTCTGATCTGCAGGACGTGGGGTAACAGCCGAAATCTAGGTGCAAACCTTTCAAAAAGAATGTCAGTCAGGGAATCCTGAAAGCGGACACGGCCTGCATTGGTCCACCTATTTGTTTGCTGATCCCCCACCAAGTCCAGACTTCCTCCCTCTTTACTAGAGAAACTGCCGGCTGTGTCCAAACCATGAAGCACCGCCAAGGAAGCTGCGAGTTGCTGCTCCTCTCTCAGGAGTCCTGAAGGTTGGTTTCGCTCAAGAGGATTTTCTCGCCAGGCTTAAAGGCTGGCATGCCACGGTAAGGGCAGCTGGCGCAGCGGAAGGCATCCCCCAGGTAGCACTAGAGAGGAACAAAAGTGGCATCTGAAGAAGGCGAAACCACCAGACCAAAGAGCAGCCAGCCTTCAGGGTGACTTGTGCCCTTAATTGTAGGAGACAACCAGGCTGAGCCTGAGGGTGGGGGTGGGTCAAGCACTTCATCAGTCTGGAGTCTCTATGCTCCCATAAGAGACCTAAGTCCAGCCACCCTTAAAGTCTCTCGACTCTTTTCTGGTGCCAATTCACCTGGACCCTCAGTAGTTCAGATTCTGGTGTATAGGTCACATGGAATAAACTAGGACCTTTGAACCCCATCCTGCCCCCTGAGTCCTTACACCCGGGGAAATAAAAGGGGCCAGTTGTCTCTAGGAGCCAGATACAGACTTGTTGAAGAGCCCAAGGGCTGCTTGTGCTGCTCTTATTCCCTCCAAGGTGTCATCAGAGTCCTGATTTTATGCCACCCAGAGTCACCTTGCAGTGAAGATGGGCGGCATAAAAATTAATAAACAAATCCATAAATGAAACAGCATCCTATTACAGTTGGGCGGAGTGGATGTGCTCCAGGCCTCTTCCATTAAAAGGCTGTCTTCCTGTGGGAGCAAGGAAGGGGGCCTTCTCTGTCACAACCCTCTGGAATTGCCCCTCCCCAGAGACATGGCCAGCGCCCACTCTACTGACATTCTGGAAAGCCCCTCCCCCCTATATATATAAATATAAATAAATTTCAATCATGTGTCTCCGGGATGCTGCAATGGCCATAAATGCAGGCCAGTTCCTAAGCATCCAAAATGTGATCACGTGATGGGGGAGGGTTGTTGGAACTTTGAAGCCAAGTTGTAAGTAGCTCTGGAGAAGTCTGTTGTAACCTCTAAGTCAAAAACTACCTGTGTCATACTCTGTAAGCCACCCAGAGCCCACTGGGGTAGGCACCTCTATTAAATTTGGTAACTAAATGACTAATCCAGCTAGATAAGGAACAGGAGGAAGACTGTCACATAGCTGCTGTCTCAGGTGATCAATGCCTCCAGACCCCTCTCCACAGAGAAGGGTGTCATCCAGAACCTGCTCTCCTGGATCTATATTGTCTTACGGCACCAAGATCCAAAATCCATCATGCTCCAAAATGCATGTCACATATGCAGATGCTGAACGTGGATGTTGGCTGCCAATTCCTCATATCAAAAGAATGATCCCTTTTAAAAAATCTAGTTAATTGCTTGAAATGCCATCAATTAAATGTGCGCATGAATCAAACCCACCATCTCTGTTAAAAACAAATATTAAACTGGAAACATTCTGACGGGAAAGGCATTTCCTCCTTGTCTCTCTACTTACTAAAAATATACAAAAGCATCAACTAAAATTAGCAATGGCCTATTTGTTCATGAATAAAAATCCTTATTCTATAAATTATCACTGTGGGACACATAGTTGGCATTATATTCTAATGTTAGACTAAACAATGTCTGGATTGAGAGTGAAAAAATAATAATTACATTGCCGCAAGCAGATTTTGGCTGTGCATTTTTCTTCTCTTGCTCTAGTTCTTCAGCAAGGCCGCAGGTGCTGTAGAGGAAAAAGATGCAGTAAGTTTAATAGAATAAAATTCTTGTATTGGCCAAGTGAGATTGGACACACAAGGAATTTGTCTTGGTGCAAATACTCTCAGTATACATAAAAGAAAAGATGCATTCGTCAAGAGTCAAGAATCATAGTCATAGGGTACAATAAGCAATCAAATCATACTAGGAAACAGTCAATATAAATCCTAAGGATACAAGTGACAAAGTTACAGTCATACAGCCACAAGTGGGAGGGGATGGGTGATAAGGAGTGATGAGAAGATTAATAGTAATAGTAGTGCAGCCTTTGTAAATAGTTGGACAGTGTTGAGGGAATTATTTGTTTAGCAGAGTGATGGCGTTCGGGGGAAAACTGTCCTTGTGTCTAGTTGTTCTGGGGTGCAGTGCTCTACAGCGTCGTTTTGAGGGTAGGAGTTGAAACAGTTTATATCTGGGATGTGAGGGGTCTGTAAATATTTAAATATGTTTAATAGACATAAAGAGACCATGAAGATTGCCTTCTCCTTGTGAATCTTCGACGGAGGAAACATCTATGTATATCTGTCTGTCCTTCCTTCTTTTTTGCTCATTTGTTCTCAAAAGGGGAAAACTGCAAGAATTGCCAAGAATTTAATGTTGTCAATGTATATACTATTAAAACTCTTCTGCCTCTGTTTGCAACCTTCCGTTGTGTGAAATGGAGCATCGTAGGGCAACCATTTTTGAATCAAGGTAGCTCAAAGGGGCTAACTTAAAGAATGCACCCAAAATCAAGGACTCGTTGCTCCCAGGGGACTGAAATTTCCATGCCTTCAGGCCAGTTGTACAAGTAATCCTCAACATATGACCACAATTGAGCCCAAAAGATATGTTGCTAAATGAGACATGTGTTAAGTGAGTTTTGCCACAATTGTTAAGTGAATCGCTGCAGTTGTTAGGAACATGGTTGTTAAGTGAATCTGGCTTCCCCCGTTGACTTGGTCAGAAGGTTGCAAAAGGGGATGGTCACATTGCCCTGGGACACTGCAACTGTCATAAATATGAGTCAATTGCCAAGCGGCTGAACTTTGATCAGGTGACTGTGGAGATGCCGCAATGGTTGTACATGTGAAAAACGTTCATAAGTCACTTTTTTCAGTGCCATTGTAACTTTGAATGGTCACTAAATGAACTATTGTAAGTAAGCATCCCTGTGGCTACATGATTGTGATTTCTGACATTCCAGCAAGGTTCCCACTTGCAAAGCTGATAGGGAAAGCTAGTAGGAAGTCAGAAGTCATTCCCATTGCTTTGTTCACCTGTAGTCATTCTGTTATCGCTTTAAGTAAGCATCTTGGAAAAGGTAATCCAACGGATTAAGGGTCAGCTAGTATTTAAATAACTCCAACTCCTCATTTAACCCCAAATAAATGTGTTTGCTCCATCACAAGAACAATGATTTTAAATCAGGGTTTCTCAAACTTGGCAAGTGGGCTTCAACTCCCAATTTCTGTCTGGGAAATTCTGGGGCTTGAAGTCCCCACATCTTAAAATTGCCAATTTGAGAAACACTGATTTAGAAGGTTTCAACAGGACTGCAATCTATAGTCTCTATTTTCTCTGCGGCATTTTTGTTATCGTGCTTCAGGTGTCTGCGTACTGGTAAGTCCTTGACTTATTTTGACACTCACCAATTCTTACAGGCTTTCCTCTTTCCAGATTCCTTACAAGAAGGTGCTTTGAGAGATGCGGGATCTGGCTTTTTCAAATCCTCAGGATCCAGAAGCTCATCTGAATCCAGGAGATCCTGGAGACAATAAGAACCCAGAGAAAACAAATCCCAAACAAATCCCAGATCCACAGGAAGCAAAGATCCCTGGGCGAAGTTTGTTACTAAAAGCTTAGAGCTGCTGAACAGCTCTGAAGACTTTTTTTTTTAAAAGATAAGCAACAGTAATAAAACGGAGTGCTGCTACTATCAAAATAGGGGAACTGTATAAAATCCAGATTTGGGGGGGAGAAAATACATATAAAATAGTTCAAAATTCCTCTTGGGTGGAGCTGCCCAACCTTATTTGCCTCTTTTTCCTGGCTTAGGAGATGGCTCAGCAATAATGTGGAATACAGAAAACATAACCTTACAAATCAAGGCAGGGCATCCCTTGGGGTTAGGTTGTCTGGCAGCCTTTGGGGGGGCCCTTCTGCACCTACCACGTCCTCATCATCCATGTCATTGGCAGAAAGAGTCCAGAGTTTTGCAGCCGTGGGATCCACCCGTGGTTTTTCTGAAACAACCAATTGACCCCAGAGAACACAATTGTAAAGATGATGTGACAAGCCTCAAAACGTCTTAGTCCTATGATATAAAACCATCCCGGGGACTATTGATACCTCTCAGCTGAGTGTATTATTTAATAATCAATTTAAACAAAAATTATAATCATGGAAAATCTGATCAAGTATTATTCTTTTCCCCTGAAAAGGCTCAAATGAGGTCTGTAATTGAGGCAGGGCCTGTTAATCAACAGCCAAAGGGCCAGGCTTTTCAGAACTAGTTTGGTGTGGAAGTGAAGGTGCTGGACTGAGAGACTGAGTTGTAGTCCTCCCTTAGGCATTAAGTCAGTTGGGTGACTTTGGGCTAGTCCATTCTCTTCAGCTAACCCACCTCAAAAGGTTGTTGTTGTGGGGAAAACTGCCTTGAACTGGACAACATAATGGTGAGGTATACATTAAGTCATACCTTACCCATACTTAGGATGGTTTCTACAGATGTGCTTAAGTGAAACTAGGAGCAAGATCTGAGAAGATAAAAGTCCCTGCCTATGGCTTTCTTACCAGTTGTTGGTTTCTTGATAGTAGAAAGCTTGAGCTGACTTGAAGATCCAACCTCAAAATTGGGCTTTTTGCCTTCTAACTGAACTGCGAGAATTTCATGGCATTGCAGATCCAGATGCTTCTGGACAGCTTGAATTTGTTCGGAGGTTAAAGCATCCTTCTGCAGCTGGAAAGCCGGGGGGGGGGGG